CCGCATTATGCTGGTACACCGTGGTGGGAGACAGAATGAGTGCGTGGCGCCTTGCGCCGCCGCTGAGAAAGCGGTAAACTTGCTGGTGAGCCAAAAGAAGCCGCTCAGCCAGGTGCTTCCATAAGGAAGTCAAGCGAGAGGGTGGTTGCGCGATGCTTCGCGGATCTAATTGTTGCCCCGGGTACGCCTCAGCAGCGGGCACGTCCTCGTCTGCATCGGCGTTGCCCAGGATACTGGGCTCGCTCCTCATGGCCTGATGGGGATGAGGCAGGAAGGGGAGCTGATAGAGGAGATAGGGAGAGGTTAGGCTTAGGCTGGGGGCTAGCTGCCAGGCAAGGGTCTAGCGCCTGGCAGCCTCACCTCCTTCACGAGGTTTGCGCGGCCTCCTGGGCGACAGACGCTGACCGCAATGCGAAAGGCTTTCGCCATCTCGCAAGTGCATCTTAAGGCGCTCCCTGTGCATCCTGTCGATACGGAGCTGGTCCTGCCTATGCTCCTCTTTGAGCTGAGCAATTTTATTCTCATGCTCCTTGAGAAATGAGCTGCGCTGTTCGTTCGCTGCTGCGGCTGACGCAGCTGCAGCTGCGACTGTAGGCGGCAGGCGCGTAGCTACATGGCCAGAATGGTGAGACTTACGAGCCTTGTGGTGCCTTGTAGGTGGTGAGGCTGGTGACGAGGCCGGGCCGTGGGAATCCTGCGGGCTGCTTTGAGCCTCTACTGGATCTCGGCGCTGTGGCATAGGCTGCTCGTCCGAGGCTGCATCAGACGCTTTGGCAGGCGAACGTGAGCGCTGTGCTGCATGGGCCGCGCGGTGCGCCTTGGCCTTGCGAGCTCTATGGTGCCTAGGGGGAGGAGAGGCTGGAGGTGTCGGCGTGCCGAGGGACTCCTGCGGGCTGCTATGTGCCTCAGCAGATTCCCTGCGTATTGGCGCAGACTGCTTGAGCGCGCTTTTGCGCGGCTCGGTGCGTAAGCGCGAATTATGGGCCACCTTGGGGGGCTTGGCCGTGAACTCGTCCGCAAATGAGACCTGCTTGCGCTTGCGAGTTGCAGAGGCGCGGGGCGCAACTGACTGTTCCGCCGGCTCTGGAGAGTCGAGCGGAGGACATGGTGAGGAGGCAGAGGAATATGAGGCGTCGTCCACCTGATCCAGCCTTCTAGGCGATGCTGGGGGACTAGAAGGCCTGCTTGGCTGGCTCCTGTATGGCGCAGCTTTGCGGGACTGTTTGCGAGGCTCGCGCAGGGGTGGAGGCGAGGTGCACGCTGAAAGGGGTGGAGAAAAAGGAGAAGCTGCCTGGCCTATCCAGCCTTCCGGAATGGCTGCTTTAGCAGGCACCCTGGGATGCTCAGGGGGCGGCAAGGGAGGCAAGGCTGGCGGAGGTGGCGGAGGACGAAAAGTGGCCCCGTAGATGTGCCTGCCTCGACCCATGGGGGGGCCGCTGAAATCGCCAGGCGGCCGCGGGGGATCTGAGGCAGGTGGGGTGCTGGACAGAGAGCGCTGCACCGCTTTGGCTACCTGGGCGAATTGGGCAGGCGAAAGGAGGGGTGGAGGAGCTGAGGCGGACCGAAATTGGCCCGGTGGGGGATGCTTAGGCCTGGCTTCACGCGGCGCCAGCACCCATGGCCGTCTGGACATGAGATGCCAGCTAAGTGTCGAAGATGTCGGCGTTGAAGTCCTGCGGGGCGGGCGAAGCAGGGTGCCACATGTGAGAGAAGGAAATTCCCGTGAGCGGGACGGGTCGTGCCGCTTGACGGGAACGTTCGGCCCTGATTTGCCTGGCCCGCTCCCTATTGCACTGGATGCGCCTTTTCTGATCCAGAGTTAGGGAAGGCGGGGGTGGCGGCGGAGGGAGGGTGGAGGGAAAAATGGGGGCTGTGCCCAAAAAGTGCATGGCCTCTTGTTCCGCTTCCGAGTCCTGATCTGCGGGATCAGGCTGCTCGTGAGCCTCTGCGGGGAGGTCGCTATGGCGCCGCGGCTCGCGGGGCCTGGAGAGAGCCAAAAGCCTGCGGAAGCGGTCCAGCTCCCCATCTACTTTGGCACGGGTGCGAGGGGCGGAGGAATCAACAAAGTCGGGGCCTAGCCAAAAGTCGCTGGTCATGGAAGCGGAGAAGCGGAGGAGGGGAGCCAGAACCGAGGGGTCCGACTGGGGAAGAGGATCCTGTGGGTCGTCAACCAATGGTAAAATGACGTCCTGATATATAGCCTGGGCGAGACATTCGCAAAGGGCAGAAGGATAAGTCTTTTTGTCAGCAGTGAAAAAGCGGTCATTCTCGTCCTTACCTAGAAGTGTACGATGTGACCCCCGTGGGTGCGTGCACTTGGTCCCTTGGGGACGGTTATTTAGGAGCTCTGGGAGCGAGGGAATGCGTAGCGATAGCAAGCGCGTGGGGGCTTTGCCGAATTCGTTAGGAGGTCGGCAAGACGGCTGGAACATGCACTGGTCGATGTCCGTGGTGCGGACAGCCGGAGCAGCAGCCAAGGCCATTAAAGGTCTCCAAATCCAGCTAGGCTGCGCCCTGGGTTCCCAGTGGGCAGGGCATGGATGTTCCACCCATGCCGAGGTACCCATTTCCAAATGAGCGGCAAAAAGGAGAACCAATGAGGCGAGTAGCAAGTTGGCAATCTGCAATTGGCGGGATTGCTTGGGAGTTGCGTTGGGGATGCCCCAGTAGTGCTCGGTAGTGCGCAGCGGCTGTGGCCCGTTGGGCTTCCATCGGGCCGCGCAAAAGGTTTCGCACGGCGGGCCCCCACCCGAAACAACCACTCTGCCGGCATAAATATGTTGTTGCCAGAGCTTAATGGTCTCCGACTTGGTGAGATCGCCCAAGTCGGGGTCGATAGCAATATCGACCGACAATATATGTACCTCTATGGAGGGGTCAGGCGTAAATGATTCCAGGTGATGCTGGATATCCCCTTCGCGCCTGCGGCCAGAGAAAAGATTGAGGATGAAAATTTCCTTGCGCCTTATGCGGGCTGGAATTTCTCTGGTCGCTAGACCAGAATACTCCTCTGGTTGGAATGGCCACTCAGGCAGCGCAGGGAGAGGAGGAGGTAGTGGCGGAGGGACATCGGCGGGAAAAAGTAGAGAGACAGCTGCAGAGTCCAGCGCGTAATCTGTAGCCGCCATTATGGCGCGCGCGTCCGCTTGAGACAAGTGTTTGGCAAAATCACGAAAGTGTTGTGTGGTAGCACGCTTGGCACGATGTGCCGGTAGTGCCACACGCCAGCGACCTACGCCTGACTTTACTTGTAGCTTGGCATTTTCGCAGCGTTGCATAGCAAGCGCTGTGATTTGCTCTTGAGGAAGGCGTTGGGAATGGCAGAGGAGGTAGAGAGCACATATGAAGGAGTCGAAACAGAGGTGCTGCATGAGACTGGCGCGTGAGCCAAAGGGGAGGCTGCAGGCCGGGCACACCTGGGTGTCCGGTACTAGGCCCTTGACCCTGTGGGACAAGGTCCAATGCGCCTGGGCAACGTGTTGCTTTAGCCCTCGAAATTTTAAAAATGTGCGCGCGCACCATGGACAAGTGAGCACCGTTGGGTAGTGCGCTGCCATACGTTGCTGCTCGATCGGGTGCTGTACATGGTCCGTCGGCAGGAGGGGGAGGAGGGAGGAGGGGGAGGAGGAGAGGAGAGGAAGGAACGCGGGTCGCTGTCTCTTCAAAACGAGGCCCAATACCACAGGATGGTTGTGAACAAAAGATTTCCTAGGGGGCAGTTTTCATCCGGGTCGTTTTCTGATGGTCCTGGGTCCCAAGGACGGCACCTTGAGGCCGATGTGGTGGAAGAGCGCCAGGAATGAAACGAGCAATCCGTCCAGTACTTGAGCGACGACGAGAAACGGGCCTTACGCACGATGATATAGTGGATTACGTGGGCCGCCAGCATGGCACACCGCGTAGAAAAAAGGCCGCGCCCGCGCGATCTCCCGAGGGAAGCTTACGCACGAATGTCAGCGCAAAAGACCCCGCCTTCTTCTGTCATTCACTCGTCGTCCCTTGGGCACAATTTCCGTGCGCGTGGACATTTCATCAATATCTTTACTATTCGAATAAAAGGTCGGCTACATAAATTGATGACCCCAATATTGATTTTCCGTCGGAACTACGGAAATACGTCGGATGCTCAGCGAATCGACTGGACATTCTGTCTATCTTTCGCGTGGATTCCCCGGACACAAAAACAGTTCTGTGGTAAGTCCATCCTGCAGTTTACCCCCTGCTCGAACTATTCGTTGTCCGCGAAGCTTGTCGAAGGCAGCAGAACCCACCTCAGATCCGCAAAGCGGCCTGCGCGGGCGGCACAGGTCCCACCGAGCTGCTCCACGACGACACGCCCCCCCCCCAAAGAGAAGAGTGCAGAGCTCACACGCTCGAGCAGCATGCCGCCAAGAGATGGGGGAGGAGAGGACTGCTTCGTTGTGAGCATCCCATGTGTTCGGTGCTGGCCCTGTCGCTCGCGCGCATGCCGTTCGCATAACGAGCCAAATGGAAAGAGATCGAGGAGCAGAGGCCCTCACACAGGAAGGAGGAGAAGAAAAAGGCGAGCCTGGCGCCTCTGCAAAGCACCATGCCTGGACTCCCTTCAGGCCCCGCTCGAACGCGGCACGGTGCATCGCTGTTCGGTTCCCGAGGGCCGGGGGGCGGCCAAGAAGGGGGCGTCCAAGAGGGGGGGCCGCAAATCATGGCCGGCGGCATGTGCGCGGCCCAAAGGGGGGGCCAGGGATGTAATGAAATAAGAACAAGCGCCATGAAATCTAAGGAAACATCATGGCCCACGCCGTGATATCCTCCCCCCTAGTCATCTCCCCCCTTTGGCCGCCCCCGAGAGGGCCCGAGAAATTATGCTCCGTACCAGCCCTGGGTCGAGGATCCAGGACGCCTCGGGAGACGCCGATGCGGCAGGGTGTCGTCTGCGGAGGAAGGCACGCGAGGGGCGCGACGCTCGGCAGTGCGGAGCGCCCTGGACGCCGCAGCAGCAGGGTCCGAGCCAGGCGCGCCTTCACCCGCTGCGTCTGCGGCGTGTCGGAGTCGTGCAGATTCCTGCCCGGACCGGCGTGCACAGTCAGCCCGTATGGAAAGGGCGCACGATAGGGATGCAAGGGCCTTGGAAGGCCATTCCGAAGCTTTTCGAGCGGGGCGCGGCCAGCGAGAGTGGCCAAGGATGGACCGAGGGGGCGAGGATGCAGGGGCACCCGTGGGAAGGTTGCCCATCCTTACTGTGCGGGTTGACCGTAGCGCACGGTCAGGAACTTTTGCTTAGCGTGTCGCCGCGGCGGCCCTCGCGCGACGGTCTCCGCGACAGGATGTGCCGTGCAAGCAGATTGCGTGTCGCTCCGCTGCGCGGGCCAGGAGGCTGGGAACGTCTCGGGACGTTGACGCTCGGGGACGGTGCTGTGGATAGCGCGTCGCGCCGAAGCCGGGCCAGAAATGGCGGAGCGACACTGTATGAAGCCAAAGTTCCTGACAGTAGCAGGGGGGCACGGCGACCCCATGGCCCCGACCTCGTCGGACCTTTGGCCGGACAATACACGTGGGGCTCAAATCGGTGATTCCCGAAATAGAGGGGCGTCCAACCTGGATCAGGGGTGCATCCGAAGAGCCCCCCCGCCATCCTGGGGTGTATCCCCGAGATTCCCGTTTCTTCTGCACGGCCAGTATTTGCTTGCTTGTTCGGAGGAGCGCTCGCCTTCATGAAGACGTGCGTCGCACGACGTCTGAGAGTAGAGGAACACAAGACTGCATGAACATAAACTCCTGGGGGTCTGCGCGCTTTTCTTGGATCGGCGCTGACCCCCCTCCCTGGCGCGCGGATGGCAAGGGGTAGCGTCGAAGGCGCCGCCAGGGGGCCCAAGTGCCGAGCCAAGAAATCCGCGCGGAGCTCCGAAAGTTTGTATATATGAAGCCTTTTCTTCGAGAGGAAGCGGGATCGGGACGGGAGGTGCGGAAGGAGGTAAGCCGGGAGAGGCGGTTGGGCGTGAATTAATGGGGGGGCGATAAGTGAGGGGGGGGGAGAAAGGTGCCCTTCTCGAGCTCGAAAGGCCCCCTGCTGAACCCCTTTAGGGGCCCTGAGGGCCCTTTTCTGCAGCCCTCGCTGCCCCCCCATCCATCTTGGATGCCTGGAAATGGGCACCAACATCAACCCAGGAGGTCGCCTCCACAGGGGCAAGACGATCCTGGATTTGGGCGTTCGTGCTAATAGTTCGGCCACTTGGAGAGCCCGAATAATACCACCATCGCCGAGATCGGGAGCATCTTCCCTCGGTGAAGGCACACCGCCGATCTTGGTGTTGGTGTCAACCTCTGGGCCTCCGACCATCGCCCCCCACGTTGATCGCGGCCCAATTTGGACCGCCGAAATGGGCACGGAACAAATGGGCACAATGCCCAACAACAAATGTTGTCCCAAACCAACAGCGGCCGCAGTTGGGCAGGCGGCCTCTTGTCTCAACTGGACACAGGCCGCGGCGGTGCGGACAGCGAGTCCGGTTCGAAATGAACTGGAACTGCTGTTGGGCATTGTACGCATTCTTTCCGTACCCATTTCGTTCGTGCCGGCCCAAGGCGGGGGGGTGAGATGGACATCCAACTCTCGGCCCGCAGCTGGCCCGGGCCCCGCTCCCCAGACGCGTGCCCCCCCCCGCTGTGCGGCTCCCGCGGCCGTGTCCCGCCGCTCTCTCCGGCCGTGCTGTGGGGGGACCCACTCTCCTGGCCTCCGCGCCGGGGCGCGCACGAGTGGGGAGGCACAGGCCGAGGAGGGAGGAGGTCCGAGGGAGGTCCGAGGCCGGGAGTCCGAGGAATCAAGGCTGCTGCTTCGAGGGCCTCGCCGTCTTCCCCGCCCCCCCACTCGTCCTCCGCCTCCCCCTCCCCACCCTCGGTCTCCTCGCCTCCCCCTCTCCGACGTCGTCGACGTCGTCGTCGGACCGAGGTTGGAAGCTCAAGGACAAAAGGTTATTGTGACGTGCTTGCCTGCTCGGGGCCTCCATGAGGATTCTTGTCGCCACTGCAGGAAATTCCATCTGAACCCCAGTCGACAACGCACTCCGATGCATCCTCGGTGGGCCTCGTCTGTCCCATCGCGTCGCTCCTCGCGTCGAATCCGCATGTGCACGTCGACCCCGGGTCGGAAACTGAAAGAGGATCGCCGTTCAAAGACAGGGCCCCCCCGGTGTCGTGACGCCAACCAGCCCGCAGAATGAGATCCTGCGAGCTTCGCCCCTCGATAGCACCTGCCTTTGCGGGGGGGCACTCAAGTAACTGGAAGCCGCCAACTTCCGACCCTTCGGGCGGCCTGCGCAAGGACGACTGGCCTTACAGGCGAACACGGCTGACAGCCGCAGCCCCAGGAGAAAGAAGGTCAGCATTTAGTCGGTCAGATGGGCGGGGAGGGGACGCACACCAAATCCTCTCATGCGACGAATATTTCGCCGTAGCTAGCGATGGATGGCATGATGACCAAGAATGCGCGAAGCCGAGCCTAAGTTACACACTACTAAAATGTTAAATGCGCCACGTGAGCTCGAGCCTCGAAAGAGTGCACACGCGGACGGGCGGCACACGCTGGACTTGTGCCACGGCGCGAGAGAGAGAGGGGGGAGAGAGAGAGAGAGAGAGACGGAACCTGAAATATTCGGTCATTCTCTTGAGGCCTCTCGATCTCCCATGGGCACGACGGCTCGATCCGCCCCCGCTTGAGGTCGCACCCGAAAAGACTCCGCCATGGGCACGAGGCGCTTCGCGAAGCGAGGCCACAGTGCCTCGCGGCACGACCCGACAAACAGGAACAGGTCGCCGGCGGCCTCGACCGCGGACACGACCACGTGCGTGTCCACGGGCACGGCGTTGGGGCTCATCACCGTGAAGAGCGCGGTGACCAGGCGGTACGGGACTCCTCCGGCCCTCTTCACGGTCTTGCTGGTCAGCAGGCGCACGCCCTCGGGACGTCCCTGCTCGCCGAACTGGCCGCCCTCCTGGAGCACCGCGTCGAGCACCTGCTGGGCCCCGACGCGGGCGCCGGCCTGCGGAGCGCCTGGCACGGTCTGCACGAACGCCGAGGCGCCCGACTTCCGAATGTCGCTACGGGACTCGAACAGAGAAACGCGACCGAGCCCCTGGCTCCTGGACACTGACCAGGGGGAAGAGAAGCTGAGCACCACCCGCTTCAGAAGAGCAACACGAAACACACAGGCACGCGCTTTCGGAGGCAGGCGCGGAACTGCTGGGTCGGCGCTGGAACCCCCAATCCCCTGGCGCGCGAAGCGCGCCAAGGATGGCGCCAGAGACGCCGCCAGGGGGGGGCCAGCACCGAACCAAGAAATCCGAGCAGACCTCCGAAAATTGGTGCCCATGCCGCTCTTGTTGCACTCCTATGGCCTCCCAGATGGGGTCAGAATAGATTGGGTCGGCGGATCGCGTCGCATCGTCGATGCATCACCGATGCATCGGCAATACATCGGCGACGTCGGAGATGCATCGGCGACGTCGGCGTTCGGTGGCGCGCACAAGGGTGCGGGGGGAGGGGGGGAGGCTTCTTAGGAGGCTGCTTCTTAGGAGGCGCTGGCCTTGCATCTATAGGTAACGCCCACGCCTTCTAGGCAGCAGGGGTGCTTCCAAGAAGCCCCCTCTGCGCGTGGCCGAGGCGTGGATCATCGCGCCGCAGCAGCGCCGATGCATCCGCGATGCGGTGCGAGCCTCCGACCCCCGCCTGCTCCGACCCCACCTGGAAGACCTTTGGGCTGCCCGGACGCGGCGGGCAGCGCGGCCGAGAAATCCCGCATACCCTGCGTGCCGGGCCGCTCGGCGGCGCCCCCATAGAGGTCCAGGTCGGTGCCTGGGGAAACCCGGAACGGTACCGATCTCGTTGCAGAAGGGGCTCGACCACAAGAAACCTTCCACAAGAAACCCAACCCTGAGACCCCAGGACGTCCATTGATTTGTGGTGCGGGAGCATCCGAGACACCCGAGAAACCCAACCCAAGAAACCCAAGAAACCCAAGAGACCCTGAGACCCAGCAAAGCCATCGAAGCCCAAGAAACCCAGGGCACCCTGGGCATCCACTGTGCCGTTACTCCGCGGACCTCTCCCGGGGTGGAGCTGACGAGAACTTCGTTGCGCATCCAGCCGCGGCGACGAGGGCCTCCGGGGAAGGCCAAAAAGGCGAGCGATAACGAGGCAAGGGTACTGGAATGAAATTTGTTTTAGAACGTCGACCCTCAGAGGTCTCCGCCCGGCTCGAGAAAAAATTGGAAACGCCAGGACCTCAGGGTACTTACCTTCTCTGATGACTGACTAAACATGGACCCTTCACCCTTTGTGAGGGGACCGAAGTTTGGAGGGCCAAGCGCATTAGGACTATAGGGATCCTTTCTGCAAATGTATCAAGCCAAACCGCCCATACGTATTACCCCTGATGCGAAGACGAAGACCTCAGTGAGGCCACGTCGTCACTGTGTTATTATAAACGGCAGAAAATGCCGCCATAAACATACACTTTTGGCGCTCCGCGCGGAGCGCCAGACCTCTATCCCCTGGCGCACGAAGCGCACCAGGGGCGGCCCAGCGCAGATCCAAGAAATCCGCGCGGAGCGCCAAAAGTTTATGTTCATGACTTCCTTTCTTCTCCGATATTAGGATTCGGATTCTGAGGGGCAACAGTAGGGGGGAACTGGCATAGGGGGGATGCATCGACCTATAATCGGCGATACGTCGCCGATAGGTCGTCGATAGGGCGCCGATAGTGAATCCGCACCTTCCTGGGCCGGTTAGGGCTATCGGGCCCCTATCGGCGATCACTTGGAGATTGAGGGTCGATGCACCCCCCCCTATGCCTAGCCCCCCCCCCCCTGCCGTTGCCCCTGAGGCTCTTGCACTCTCGATGAATCTGAAGGTCGGTGCCGGCCCACGCCGGCGCAGCGGCCACGCGTGGCGCGGCGCCGAGCAGCAGGGCCCACAGCGGGCCTGGCGTTTTGAGGCGGGCATGTCTCCCTATAGGCGGTTTTTTGGTAGAGGAATCGAAGAAACTAAAACAGAAAATCAAACATAGTCGAGAAATCGTCCCCAGATTATGCTTGACTATTTTTCAAATTACTTCTCCTATGTAGAAAGACATGCCCGACTTCAGCCTGGCGCCACGGCGCCGCGCCGGGGCAGCGCCAGGGCGCGGGCGCCGCGGCCCTCCGGCGGGGGCGCCAGCGCCCGCCGGGGCGCGGGCGTCAGCGCCAGCGCGACCAGGCAGCCCAGCGCTGCGCAGCACGTGGAGGGGCAGAAGGCGAGGACCGTGACCAAGACTGAACGCGGAAATGACCCCAGACATGATCGCGTCGTCAAAACATCAGGACAGGAAGTTTTTCCGATTTCGGCCTCGGGAAGCCCTCGCCAGGCCTCGGGACCGTCAAAAAAAAACTCAGGATGAAAAACCGGCCCCGGGGAAAGACTCTGGACTTCCGCGGACGCCGTCCTGAAAAAATCTGGACGTCGCATGTCTGGGACCGAGACTGAACGCGGAAATGAAGAGCACGTGGTCGACTTCACGCAGTACGTGGTCGATGTCACGCTCTTCTTTATCGTCCTAATGGTGTGTGTGCTTCGTTTCATGCGCGTCCTGTTTCTTCCTCCTCCTCCTCGTCTTCTTCGGCTATTCCTTCTTCTTCAGAGTTGCTGTGGTGAGACCGGTAGGGTAGATGTCCGTCTTCTTCGCCCATTTGGTTGTGGCTTCGTGATGCAGACTGAGCGCGGATATGACCCAACCCGCAGACCCCAAATTCGGGCTGGGGGGTGGACGGGTTTCATTCAGTCGGCCCGTATCGTAAGGATACGCGACAAGGATGCAAGGGCCTTGGAAGGCCATTTCGAAGCTTTTCGAGTGGGGCGCGACCAAAGAACAGTGGCGAAGGATGGGCCGAGGAGGCAAGGATGCAAGGGTACCCCTTGGGAGGTTGCCCATCCTTAACATGCGGGTTGACTGTGCAGTGGAGGTCGCCATCTTGACCCCGCACTTTTGATGTTATCTCAGTTCGTTAGTCTGCGGCGGGATGCTCCCCCTTTACTGGGGCAACGCACCGTCCCTCGGATGCCGCACAGGCGGCTACCCCAGTTGAGGCTTTGTACCCTGTGGTTGTGGCTTCGTGCCAAGTAACCCGTACAGCAGAGTGAACGCGGAAATGACCCAACCCGCAGACCCAAAATTCGGGTTGGGGGGGGACGGATTGCAAATGTGAGCGTTTTCTTATTTGGCGTTCCGACATTGTGCGGAAGAAGGGGGGAGGGGGTGGGTCTGTCTCCGGACCTCTGCTTAATGCCACTGTTTGCCACCGTGCGTCCTATGGTGGAGACTCCACCAGCTCGAAACAGGCGCCAAAAACAGCCAAGATCTCTACTCCATGGGGGGGGAGGGTGGGTGCGAGGGCCCGCGCCGATCGGCAAAACAGTGAACACAAAAACGACCACCATGGCATTTTTCACTGTTCCCGACGCCCCCCCCTGCTACTGGGAATGGAGGGCAAATTTTGTGACCTTCGGGTTGGGTTGGGGTGGTGTGGTGGGTGGGATGAGGAAAGCGTCGGTGCCAATCTTGGTCACCGTGCATCTTGGTCACTGTCGATCCGTGGCTCGTCCCCGCGAGTCGACAGAGGCCGGGCACGGACCCGAGACCGGCGGCAGCTTGGCCATGGCCAGCGGGTCTTCTGTCCCTCGAGCACGGGCGCAACCCCAAAGATCCGATGTCGTGCAATTTCTTCACCACGGGGCCCACTGAGGTCTCGACCCGCTCCCCGGGGACCAGTTCTTCATCCCGAGCCATTTTTGGACGGTCCCAACACCTTGTGGTGTCAGACCCGGCGGTGACCCTCAAATCCCCAAAGACCTCACTGCACGGTCCGTCACCGCAGGTCTTGGCACCCTGGAGGATCCAGTCGCCCGAGACACCCTCGAACCCCCATCGACTCACCACACGGTGTGGACACTACCCCGTTTGCTGGCCCCCGAGCCGTTTTTCGACGGCCCCGAGGCCCACCGAGGGTCCCTGCTTGCAGGGGCCGAAACTTGCGCCAAAACGGCGGTGGACAAACCTCCATTTCGTAAACCTCCCCCTAGTGAAAACAGCCTGAGACCGAAACCGACGGACCTGGACCCGCAGAAATGACGGCCGCGACGCCCTCTCGCGAACCGAAAACGGCCAATTCCTTAATCGACGTGTCAGGGTAGGAGGTCTTTCCACCTCCGACCGAATACCTCCGTCTGGCTTCTGCCCACGCCTCGGATCTCTGGGGGCCGCCGCGGCCCTCGCGGCGGCCGCCGGCGCCGCCAGTGGCCCAGCGCCCTCCCGCCGTGGCCGGCGCTGCCGCCGGCGGCCGAGGCGCTTCCCGCAACGGCCGCCGGCGGTCGCGGGCCACCGGCCGGGCGCGAGCACCGCAGCGCCGGCCAGCAGCACATGCGCGCCGTCGGCGGCGCGTCCAGGCGGCAGCTGCCCCGGAGATCCCGACTGCCTGCCAGACCCCCCCAACCCCACCCCGGACATGATCGCGTCGTAAAAAAGTCAGGACGGGAGGCTTTCGTTATTTCCGGCCCAGCTGGGGGCCCTCGCCAGGCCGCGGGACCGCCAACAAAAATCCTCAGGATGAAAAGCGGGTCCCGGGGAAACGGTCTGGACTTCCGGGGACGCCGTCCTGAAAAAATCAGGACGTCGCATGGATGGGGTTGGCGGGGTACGGGCTGCATATATGTTTTCTCAATGTTCCCCGGCCCTCCCCGCACCCGCCACTGGAAATGGAGGGCCAATTTTGAGGCCTTCGGGTTGAGTTAGGGTGGTTTGGTGAGTCGTGAGATCCGGCGTCGCGAAGGCACAGTAACATCGCGAAAAAGCACGACGGGAGCCCTGGGCCCCGACGTCGTGATTTCTTTCTTAGCGTCGACCCCCAGAGGTCTGGACCCAGTCCCCAGGACCGGCTTTACATCCCGAGTCGTTTCTTGATGGTCCCTGGAGGCCGAAAGCAGCGAAAAACTGTCCGTCGTGATTTTGTTCACAACGCGAGGGGGTCTGTGGGCAGCGCGCCCGGGGGGGAAGTGAGAAGGGATGGCCTTCTCAGAAGGCTCGGAAGTCCCCCGGCCTTCTGAGATGTTTTCTAAGCCTTCCCCGCAGACGCAAAAAACTTCTAAGGCACAATGACTTCTGAGAAGCCCCGCCGCCTCCTTCTGAGAAGGCCTCCCCCTTCTCACTTCCCCCCCTTTGTTCGCCGCCGAGTCTGGGAGCCCTGGGCCCCACCTTTCGGCGGCATCCTCCACGCCGGATCGATCCGTGCTGGCCTGCAGGGCCTGCCGAGGCAGAGCAGAGGGCGGCCTCGTCGCCGGGTGCGGCCCTGACGAGTGCGGCGCACCGGAGCTCACAGGGTCCCTCCGAGCCCGCGCGCTCCCGGCGGCACAGCTCTCTCGAGACGGGGTGGCTCGAGGCAGAGCCCGCTCCGGGGGCAGGAGGAGCAGGAGGAAGAGGAGGAGGAGGAGGAAAAGGAGGAGGAGGAAAAGGATGAGGAGGAGGAGGAGGACGAGGAGGAGGAGGATGAGGAGGACGAGGAGGAGGAGGCGCCGAGCAACCTCGAGGTGCGCAGCAGGAAGAACTGATCTCCCCATGGGGCTGTCCTCAATGCAGCGACGATCAGAAAAAGGTCTAAGTACGCGAGATGGCGCAGCGACCTTACGCGGTGGCTTAGGCGGGCCGCCCGCGCGGCACGCCACAGTGGAGACGAGGGCGTTTACGCGCGACCTTGCGCGAGCAGCTTACGCGCCAATGTCGGCGCAGACGGCCCCGTTTCCTTTGTCGCTCGTTCATTGCCCCTGCCACAGTGACAGCAGATCGAGGGTCGCGACACCGCAATCGAGCATCCATGCAAGAAACAGGCACTACACGCGCAACACAACCTGCGGCACGTGAGCGACGAACAGACACATGTTGCACGCAGCATGACGCAGCGACCTTACGCCGTAGCTGACACGGGCCGCCAGCGTGGCACACCGCGTGGACATGCGAGCGCTCACGCGCGGCCTTTCGCGGGCAGCTTACGAGCGAATGTCAGTGCAGTCGACCCTGCTTTTTCTTTTTCGCTCACGTGGCAGGAGGCACGTCCGTGCATGACATGACATACCCGACCATCAACCCCGGCCGCTGTCCTCACGGGGGACTTCGAAGCAAAACTTGTCAGAAAAGCCTCGATCTGCTCCCGCTTGAAATCGCCTTCGCGCACGTATGGCAGCAGTGTGCGTGACACAAGGATGGATACGCACGTATGCATGCAGAGGTATCCATATATATATAAATATATATATATATATATCAACACCTACAGGACCGACCATGATGTCACAACCGAGCAAAGCATAGAGGCGTTGCTTCTAACCCACCGCTGGAGATTGAAAACGAGGACCTTGATTGTATTGTCACCGCATATTGACTCCATTGCCACGGCCACTTAGATCGCTCGCGCACTGCTACCATCTGGGGGTTCCTTGGCAGACTGACGCGCCCCACAAGCGAAACGAGTCTCAGCGCAAGAACGGTCTCTTGCACCTTGAGCTTGCCACGCCAAAACAAACACGACCGACGGAGACTCAACGCGTCGGGCCCAAGATGGCATCCGGAGCGGTCCAGGACAGCCAGGGAGGCCCACAGGACTGCCCCTAGGAACCCCGAGGGCGCAAGGGCCCGCTGGACGCCCTCAGAGCCCCAGTAGCGTTCCCACTGCGCCCACAGAGCCCCCAAAAGGGGGTCCCAAGAGGAACCCCCAAACGCCCCAAGAGCCATTGCAGAACGATCCCCCCCCCTCTCTCAGAAGAGACACAGGCAAAGCACCGCCGCCACCGAGAACCCGTCGGGGGGGAGGAACCGACGCCTGAGCGGGGGCACGCCTGAGCGTCGCCCTGCTCTTGGCGACGCTCAGGCGTGCCACCGCCCAGGGGTCGGCTCCCCTGGGTTCTGGGTGGCGGTGGCCCGTGCTTCTTCCTTGGCTCCCCCACTCTCTTCCTCTCGTCTCCTCCATCTCCTTGCTAAGGCCTTCTCTCCACTGAGAGGCGGCCTTTCGCATGCTGTGGCGCACTTGGACCTGGGGAAGAGAGGCGCCCCATGATACGGCTCTCTGGGCCCCAGGGGAGGCACAAGTGTCACACATCACGGCCTTCTCGTGTTTGCTGGAAAGCGTGACAAATGATTCGGCCTGCCCGAACTAAACTCCTCCATCGAACTGTCACATGCTAAACTCTTCCACATCGTTCTCACATGTTAAACTCTTCCGATCTAGGGATGACAAGTGTCACTTGCTAAACGTTTCCATACAAGTCTGGAAGGGCCGTACACAGAATGCTGCGCTGGCATAGTGGTGTAACGTGCTTCAAGTATCTGGTTAACGTGCTCACCTGAAACAATGCCACCATGAGACGAGAAAGGCTGACAACCCACCAAGCGTAGTGACGGAGATGTTATGCAACGCAAGCAGATACCAGACCAACAACGAGAAGGAGACGATAGAAACATACATTGCATGTATACCGATGGTGTCGATTCACATGCCGTAGAGAAATACTGGCCTTGGTATCTGTGGCGCTTGGCAGCCTCATCGACGACTACCTGCGAAACGGGCAGAAACATCGTGACCAACATCATCAAGGCACACCCGTCCCTGCTAGATCTGCCTCTAAAGGAGAGGCGGCAGCTCAGATCCACCCGCTTCGCGCTAGCATGGGGATAACAACGCATTCTCTGAGGTCGGCCGCCGCTGTGCCGAGAGCACGCGGCTTCGGCCCCTGCGGGCAAACACGGAAGCATGTTAGACACACACACACACACGCACACACACATACACACACAGACACGCATCCCATCACACCTCGGTGTGTCATGATCGACCCGCACATGATCACAAGGCACGCGGGGCCATGCTCCTGCGCAAGACGTCTTCGGCGGGGGAGAGGGGGGCTGAGACCGTATTGGTACAAGCGAGCGGGAGCGCTGGGGCTGCCCTGCCGGGCCAGAGCGAACCACGAGCCCACCCGAGAGGAACGAGCTTAAGGCAGGCTCGTGTCGTGCCGACGTCGGCGCTGGTTCCTGACACCGCGGGGGTCGTTCAACCTTGAACGATCGGCCGTTTCCGAAACGTCAGATCTTTCAACATCGACCGATTCTGGACCGCCAGCAGCGTTCAACGTCGAACGCCAGCGGCGGGGTCTTCGTCGCTCGATCTACAAGTTTTCTTGCCTGTGCCATGGTGACTTGAATTAGCTGGTGGTTCGCCCACGACGCCAAGTGTGGGTCACTCTGTGTTGACAGAACTGCCCGACAATTTTCTGCGCTTGCATGTTTCGAGCTGGCACTCCGCGTGCGTGGACGTGCCAGTAGTTTTCACTGGAGTCCGTCGGCGTCGCCATCACTGCTCGTCATCGGCGACACCTGGATACACTCCTTCCCCCGCCCACTGGGACCTCTGGGACCCTGGGACTCGTGGGGCCTGCTGGACCTGCTGGGGGACTTGTGGGGCCTCTGGCACTTTTGGGACAGGGCTGAACCTAAACGCTGTTTTGCTGGACTTCGGCAGTGTTTTGTTTTTCGTTATGGCAGGGAGGTACAGGCCAACAGGGAGAGCAAAACGAAAACATCACGAAAGCAACACAACATTTAGGTCCAGCCCTGTCTGGCACCTGTGGGACTTGTAGGACCTGCGGGACCACCTGTGGGACCTGTGCGGCCTGTACGACCCACAGGACCTGCACCCGCCCAAACCAACAAATGTGGCCGGCATGGCTGCGAGAGCCAGGTTCCTGCAAACCGGCTGGCGAATCAGGCGGTCTCGGGCTCCCCGTCCCCCTTGTGGCAGTTTTTTTCGCAACCATCCTGTGGAGTTGTCCTCGTGTTGAGGAGACGGTCCCCGCGTCCCTCCTCTCCTCTCCTCCCCTCCTCCCCGTGCTCCCTCCTCCTCCCCCTCCTCCTTCCTCGTTGCGTTTCACCCACCCAGTGCAGCGCTTCGTGGCCCCATAGGAAGCTCCACGCAAGGCCCCAGTGGGGGTGGCCACATGCGCCCGCCAAACCCAGTACACCGCTTCGTGGCCCCATAGGAAACTTCACCTAAGGCCCCAGGGGGGGGGCACATGCGTCCGCCACACCCAGTACAGCGTTTCGTGGCCCCATTGGGAGCTTCACCCAAGGCCCCATTTCGGGTGGCCACATGCGTCCGCCAAACCCAGTACAGCGCTTCGTGGGCCCATAGGGAGCTCCACGTAAGACCCCCGTGGGGGTGGCCATATGCGTCCGCCACACCCAGTACAAGGCTTCGTGGCCCCCTAGGGAGCTTCACCCAAGGCCCCAGTGGGGGTGGCCACATGCGTCCGCCACACCCAGTACAGCGCTTCGAGGCCCCATAGGGAGCCCCAGTGGCCATATGCGTCCGCCACTCCTAGTATAGCGCTTCGTGGCCCCATAAGGAGCTCCACCTGCGGCCCCACTGGGGGTGGCCACATGCGTCCGCCACACCCAGTACAACGCTTCGTGGCCCCATAGGGAACCACACCCAAGGCCCCAGTGGGGGTGGCCACATGCGTCCGCCACACCCAATACAGCGCTTCGTGGCCACATAGGGAGCTCCACCCAAGGCCCGAGTGGGGGTGGTCACACGCGTCCGCCACACCCAATATAGGGAGCTCCACGTAAGGCCCTAATGGAGGTGGCCACATGCGCCCGCCACACCCAGTACACCGCTTCGTGGCCACATACGGAACTTCACCTGCGGCCCCAGTGGGGGTGGCCACACGCGTCCGCCACACCCAATACAGCGCTTCGTGGCCACATAGGGAGCTCCACCCAAGGCCCGAGTGGGGGTGGCCACATGCGCCCGCCACACCCAGTACACCGCTTCGAGGCCCCATATGGAGCTCCACGTAAGGCCCCAATGGGGGTGGCCACATGCGCCCGCCACACCCAGTACAGCGCTTCGTGGCCCCATTGGGAGCTCTTCAGCCACACCCAGTACAGCGTTTCGTGGCCCCATAAGGAGCTCCACCCAAGGCCCCATTTCGGGTGGCCACATGCGTCCGCCACACCCAGTACAGCGTTTCGTGGCCCCATCAGGAGCTCCACCCAAGGCCCCAGTGGGGGTGGCCACATGCGTCCGCCACACCCAGTACAGCGCTCGGGGGCCCCATAGGGAGCTCCACGTAAGACACCCGTGGGGGTGGCCATATGCGTCCGCCACACCCAATACAACGCTTCGTGGCCCCATAGGGAGCTCCACCTGCGGCCCCATGTGGGGGTGGCCACATGCGCTCGCCACACCCAGTACAGCGTTTCGTGGCCTTCAGGGAGCTTCACCCAAGGCCCCAGTGGGGGTGGCCACATGCGTCCGCCACATCCAGTACAGCGCTTCGTAGTCACATAGGGAGCTCCACCTGCGGCCCCAGTGGGGTGGCCACATGCGCCCGCCACACACAATACACCGCTTCGTGGCCTTGAGGGAGCTCCACCCAACGCCCCACTGGGGGTGGCCACATGTGTCCGCCACACCCAGTACAGCGTTTCGTGGCCCCATAGGGAACTCCACCCAAGGCCCCAGTGGGGGTGGCCACACGCGTCCGCCACACCAGGTACAGCGCTTCGTGGCCCCGTAAGGAGCTCCACGTACTGCCCCAGTGGGGTGGCCACATGCGCCCGCCACACTCGGTACAGCGCGTCGTGGCCCAATAGGAAGCCACCCGGTACAGCGTTTCGTGGCTCCGTAATGAGCTCCAGTGGCCACCGAAGGCCCCAGTGGCAACGCCCGCATGCGTCCCCCCTTTTCGTGGCAGGGAGCTCTACCGAAGGTCACAGTGGCACCGCCCGCATGCGTCCACAGCGTTTCGTGGCCCCGTAGGGAGCTCCACAGAAAGACCCCGGCGGCACCGCCCGCATGCGTTCCCCCCAACCAATACACCGATTCGTGGCCTCATCGGGAGCTCCAGCGAGGGGCACCGCCCGAATGTGTCAGCCACACCCAGGGCCACGGGGTGTACTTACTGGTTGTGCCGACCGTAAGACGGTGCGCAGGAATACTGGGCACCCCAAGACGAGAACTCGCATCGAGAGCATGTGCCGAAGCGAACTTCACTGGAGGTCCGCCAGTTGGTGGATCGCGATTCGGCTAAGGCTGGCGATATCCCACCAGCCCTCTGGGCGCAGGTGGTCTAGGGCGCTTCCTTTTCCAACCTCCTTCCTTTCCCTGCTCGGGAGGTTTACCTCCCCCCCCCTCGGTGGGTCTGGACGGGCTTCCCCGCGAGGTGGCAGAGGGTCCATAATGGCCCAAGATGGCTCCGAGAGAGCTTTCGATAGCCCAAGATGGCCTCCAAGATCGCCCAAGATACCTCAAGATGGCTCAAGACAGCCTCCGACACACATCCAAGAGGCCTCAAGACGGCCCCAAGACGGTTTCAAGTATCCCCCGAGCCCTCCAACGACCCCCCCAATAGGCCAAAATCCTTCAAACATCTAAGGACAAACGATGTGTTTGGCCTTCTCGTTTTTTCGTCTCCGATGGGCCCGTCTTGACCTGAAGCGGCCTAAGAGAGCCCCAAGAGGGGCCCAAGCGGCCCCCAAGAGCGCCCAAGAGCACTCCACGAGCGGGTTAAGAGGGCCCCAAGACAGCATGGTCGAGCTTCCGAGGGGGCGATGGGAATTAAAAACCCCCTTCTTTTGAACAATGAAGGCCCCAAGAGGCCTCCCAGACCCCCCGAAAGAGCCCCAAGAGGGCTCCAAGACCCCCGAAGGGAACCCCAAGAGGGCCCCAAGAGGACCCCATGAGGACCCCAAGAGGGCCCCAAGATGGCTCCCAAATGGCATCATGAGTCTTCGAAGAACCCCTCACCACGACATATCCCCAAAGCCCGACTTCTCGTCCTCCTTGTCATCGTCCGTTCTTCCCGTGCTTCTTTCCTGCCGCCTCCCTGCTCCTATTCATCCTCCTCGCGCCGCGTTCCTCCTGCTCCTCCTCCTCCTCCTCCTCCTTCCCGTCCTCCTTGCGTGTGTTTCCTCCTCCTCCTCCTCCTCCTCCTCCTCCTTTTTCTCCTTCTCCTCCTTCTCATCCTGCACGAACATCGGAAGCAACATCAGCAGCAACACTGACAGCAGCACCAACACCTGGGCACATTCAGAAAGCACGCGAATTTATATACAAACCAGTGCAAGAGGTAATCTCAATGATGTCCATCGAAATACAACTCTACTCTGCGCAACACTGGCGTCATATTGTAGATATCGCAATTTGCGCCGGACACGCTTCCACCAGGGAACACCATGGCGCATTGTGCACTCATTTTTCCGAACCTTCATTGCGCGAAACTATTTGTGGTCCCTGATTTTTAGCCCTAAGATACTGCCCGCCCACTTTGGACGCTTCCAAAACGGTTGTGCGACCGCGTGCTTCCAGGCGTCCCTGATTAACCAATTCACCAGGTAATCGTTCCTGGATGGGCTGGTGGGGCTATTTTTTTGATCGCGGTCGCAAGCGAAGGTGCAGGCGGCGTCACAAGTTGTCCCGGGCGACGGGCGAAACCTAATTAACCAGCGAGCGAACTCACGGTTGCCTAAGCTGCCGCCGAAGAGCGCTGGGCGGCGCCGGGGGCTGAAGGCGGGCTGCTGGGGGCGCCAGGTGTGCCAGGCGGCCGAAGTGCAGCCATCCCAGAGGCGAGACCACCGGGAAGACGAACGAATTGTACCCTGTCGCGCCAGGAGCCAGAAGTAACCGTGCCACCGAGCGCGGCAAAGCGCGGGGCTGCGCAAGCAGTCCAGCGTACCTGTGTCGCATGTCAGCAGTGGCAGCCTCAGATGGCTGAACAAGAACGCTAAACCACTCCTGAGAAATCCACGTAGACGCGCATCCCACCAGTGCAAGCGGCAGCTGCAAACACGGCCAGGTTGTGGCAGTGTCATAAGAGCATGGGCCAGGAACGCGCAAGCATGCTAGCTGGGGCTGGTCGACGAGCAAGCTGGTGGGGATTCTTTTTTGTTCGCGAGCGCGCAGGAATGCCAGGCACCGTCAAGAAACGCGGCTAACGAGCAGCGGACTCAATTCCGCACAAGAGCGCACAGGAGCGAGATGCGCTGCGGCTCAAGCGGTGGACCTAGCGGACTCACTGGTCGAGGTGCAGCACCAAAATGGCGAAATGCTGAAATCCACGTAGACGAGGGCGACGAACATGCGTGCAGGCGCTCAACGGAAGAATTCTGGATCGCCAAGAGGGTAAGCGTGCCAGCGGCGGAAGCGCCACCACGGCGGGGGAGCAGGAGAAACAACGCCAGGGCACCACAACAGCGGCGACGGCGACGAGCCAGCGGAAAAGGCCACGTCCACAACTGAAGGCGGCGGCGCCCAAGCCAGGGGTACAGGTCGACCCTGGGGAAGCGGCTTGGGGGAGGACCGAGCGTCCGTCGACCCCGAGCGGGCGCTGGTGGGGATGCGCGAAGCGTCTAGAAATTTCTGAAAACATAACGTTCTGGCCGACCGGTGTTTTTCGATAGGACTGAGTTCTCCCAACCAACATACAGACTGCGGGGAACCCTTGACGAAGCACCTTGCCTGCTGTCTCTGCGAACCCCTGAGGACGGACACGAGCGGAGGAGCACAATCGCTTCGACGGGCTGGCCATCTTTGTGTCATCTGCATCTGTGTATCATATGTTTCTGCTCACGCCTGGTCAAAATCTTTTACTCATCCCTCATGTTCCACGCCCCTCCGTTCCCCAGGAAGGCGGGCCGACACCATTCGACGCGCATGTCTGCGCGCTCGCCCCGTCTGCGCAGCTCCTGCATGCGAAACGTGTGAACGCTCCGGAAGGCCAACTTCCGTTCAAGCGTGTGGAGTAGGAGTCGACTCTTTGTTTCATGGTTTCGCAGGACCATGAGGTCCTCTGTCCATTTCGCGTCGGTGGATGGCTCCATTGGGGTCCATTAAAGCCTGACTGCCAACAACATGCACGTGAGCGCACCAAAGAGCGTAAATGTTGTTGTCGTCATCTCTGCCCTCAGCCCAAACCTTTCCAAATACGTTTGACACTCAAGCGATCCATAGCTTGGTAGCAGCGCTCTATGGGGCTGTGGACGCATGAATGGATGGTATACTTCTCCGCAAGTTCTGCGTGTACGTGAGAGGGAATGTCCGATGAGTGGGGAGATCTTCGTGATTGCACGGGCCTCCTGCTGGTCTCAACGCTGGCAACCGACAGACAACTGCCATTGCTGCCTGCCCGAACCACTTGTGTGATGTTTGTTGCCATGCAAAACCGTTTGGCCGAGTACGGTAGGCCGTGTCGTACCAACGCTGGCGTTGTTTTCTGGCACTGCGCTGGATAGTTCAACCTTGAACAATCGGCCAGTTCCGAAACGTTAGAACGTTCAACATCAACCGATCTCTGGCGGCGTTTCGCGTTGAACGCCAGCTGCGGGGTCGCCGCCGGTCGACACGACGCGAACCTGCCGTAACTCTCTCCAGAATCTGCACGATTATAGCCGCCACTGTGCGGCAGGCACTGCGTGGCGTGCCCTCCGTGAAGGCTCTGTCGAGGGCCCAGGGCATCCTGCTTTCAGCTGTCCTGGGCGCGCTGGGGCGCTCCTGGAACGCGTCGTGCTGCGGCAGGGTCCGAGCATCCCGCACACCCGAAGAGAGTCCCAGAGGACCGTCCAGGGGCTATCTCGGGGGCCTCTCGGGCTGTCTGAGGGGCAGGCCTGGGATCTTCCGACGAGGGCCACATCACTGAAGAGCACAGGCCTCGGCATGGCTTCAGCACTCTCGCTCCTTGGTCGCGAGAGCGTGAGTGGCGACCCACGGGGGCCCAAGACCGCATCAGGAGGGGCCCAAGAGGCCCCCCGGGACGGCCCCAGAGAGTGGTACAAGACGAGCGAGGAGGACCCAAGTGGGCCCCGAGCTGGTCCCAAGAGAGCTTCGAGAAGGCGAAGAGGTTCCAGGACACAGGGCCACGAGGCTGTCCCGAAGACCCCAGGTGGAGGAGGAGGAGGAGGAGGAGGAGGAGGAGGAGGAGGAGGAGGAGGAGCGGGGGGAGAGGCCTCCAAGAGGACCGCCAGCAGGCCTCGCGAGAACACAAGAGCCATCCCGCTCGTCCACGACTCTTGGGCACGGTGCCGGGCTGGGCAGACGGCCACTAGATATCACAGTTGAAGGGACCCAGGGACACACACACACACAAATAAATAAATAAGAGCAAATCCCAGGATCCCCCATATTTTCCTATATGTTCTGGAGCTTCGTCTCCCCACCACTGTCCATATTTTCCCATACTCTCCTGGAAATCGAAGATTCGTGTCTGTGTGATGTTCCCCTCCTGAACCGTCTCTCAGGCCCAAAATTCCATTTGCTGGCCCGCTGCTGCAGATGCTGCTGCCGGGGCACCACGGCCGGCAGATCGGTCACGGAGAAGGCGTTTCGCAACGTCATGTCCGAGGCCTTCACCTCACCTGCACGGCGCTGCATTGCAATCATCCGCGTCCTTACAATGATCTTTTTATCCGCCCTCCCGCCCCCTCACTTCATCCTCCTCCACCCCCTCCCCCGCCCGCTACCACTCCCCCTTCCCCTCCCCTTTCTCCTCCCAATACCTCTCCCGCCCCTCTCCCTCTCCCCTTTCCCCTCCCCGTACATTCCGTTCCTTGTGAATAACTCTTCACTGTCGGAAATCCAGACGTGTCGGCGGTAAAGCGGGCCGGGCGGTTCGCCTGAGACTCTCCCACCACTGATGCTCCTCAAACTTGGGAACTCAGCAGTTGCACGGATGGAAGGCTGGTCCCAAGTCGAGCTCTTCTGAGCGCAGCGCACATTCGCCTTTACAGTTTGCGACAGCGTCACGAATGGAGAGCGGGTAGCTTTCAAAATGTGACTCTTGCCCTCGCGCCGGACAGATCAGAGCTTTCAAATGTTGAAACGGTCTTTGTTTAAAAAATTGTACAGCGGCTCTGCTGACTCCTTACCAGATCCACCCTCCCCGCTCCGCAACACTCGCTACCAGATCCACCCTCCCCTCCTTGCGCCCTCCGCGCTCCTCACACCTGACTCGTATGGCGCTCTCAAGCCCGTGCCTTTTGGCAAGGCATGCCCAAAACAGAAGTGGGAACCGTGCGTGCACATGCTGGGGGCAGCAAGTTGTGGATGCCCTCTCGTGGCTCGGGCGGTCAAGCGGGCTGAACCGACCACGTCACACTTTGGAGGCGCACTACTTCTTTGCATCGATTTCGAGCCCATCCCTGCCAATCCATTGACCTCTGCCTCTGCCCCCCCCTCCTTGCGCCCTTCACGCTCCTCACCCCTCCCTCCTCCTCTTTGGACGCCCGAAATGGGTACGGAAAAATGGGTACAATGCCCAACAACAAATGCTGTCCCAAACCAGCGGCCGCTGTTGGGCAGGCGGCCTTCTCTCTCGATTGGACACAGGCCGCGGCGGCGTGGACAGCGAATCCTGTTCAAAATGAACAGGAGCTGCTGTTGGGCATTGTACCCATTCTTTCCGTACCCATTTCGGGCGTCCAGATACTCGGAGAGAGCCTGGCTCCGGGCGCGCGCCGGCGGTGGGACGCGAGGGCCCAGCTCGGAAGCGCACGAGGGCGCCGGCACGCGCCCAGCCCAGAGGACGTGCGAGGCGGGAGCGGGCCAGCACGTGCAGAAGGAAGGGGCGAAGAGGCGAGTCGGGCCACAGTTAGGTCGGGCATGTCCTCCGATAGGCGAGTTTCGGACCAGCAAATCTAGCAAATCTTTCGGACCAGCTGGCAAGACTAGCCAGCCCCAGCGTAGGAGGAGCTAGGGGTAGGTAGGTGGGATGGTCATTGTTGTCATTGCAACTCTGACGCAGCATATTTGGCTCCAGTCCGGAGGGCTAGCAACAGCCAATTTCCCTTCCCAAGGGGGGAGGAGCCTTTAGCAGGTGTATCCGCGAAGCCCAAAAAGAGAGTCGGGCCAGAGTTAGGTCGGGCATGTCCTCCGATAGGCGAGTTTTGGACGGAGAATCCGCCGGCCCGTCGCCGGGGAGCCTTCTTTCGTCCCCTTCAGTCGGGGGAGGAAGAGAGCCCCCTTCCTCGCTCGGGGAACGGGTTCGCAGCTTGAGGGAATCCCATCCACGTCCTCATTACATCAAAGGGACGCCCCTTTCCTTTGTCCCTTCCCCGGCGGGGGGGGGGTCCTGGGGGAGATGGGGGGGGTCAAATTCGCATCGCCTCTGGGGGTCCTCCTTTCCCACGCCGGCCAGTCCTTCTCTGGCGCGCCGGTCCTCCTGGGGTCCTCCTCCCCAGGTGGGGAGGAGTCCCAAGGGGAAACAGGGGAGTCAGATACGCATCCGTCCTTGGGGGTCCTCCTCCCCTTCCCTCCCCTCTCTCACGCCAGTCCTTTTCCGGTCCTCCTCCCCAGGGGGGGTCCCAGGGGGGAGTCCTTTTCCTACTCCTCCTCCTCGTTATCTCCGCCTCCTCTCCTCCTCCTCCTTCTCCTTCTCCTCCTCCTCCCCCTCCTGGAGGTCGTCGACGCCTTTCAGGGTCGGCGGCACAGGCCGCTAGGCCTTCACAATAAACAAAAAGTTACCAACATATATGAAAAAAAACACACAAACATAATATAATCAAATCGTCCACACACTGATTTTGACTATTGTTGAATAATTCTCCTAGAGGGACGTGCCCGAGTTCAGACCAGAGCTCCAAGTGTCCTGTGGTGCGCAACTGAAGGGGCTCACTCTCGAACTGCCGTTCCTGGCCACTCGAAGCAAGGCCGTCCACGGCGACGAAGAGCGACCGAAGGAAAGCCGCCAGAACCTAACAGCGAAAACGACGCCGACAGGCCACGCGCAGCCCACGCAGAAAGGCGCAGCGGCGCAACGTCGACACACCAACCGACAGAACCGAACCGAGCGAACGCAACCCACTGCGACGCAACCGAACTGACCGAACCGCGGACACCGGCACTGTCCTGGCCAACGCCCGTCCCTTCGCGCGCGCGCGCGGCGCGCATCCAACCGACAGGGTCGGACACGGGCTGCTAAACGCAGCTAGCATATCCTTAATGGGGAGGCGCACGGACCACGGGCAAGAGGGAATGGAGGAGGTGGAAGATGAAGAATACGAGGACGAGGGGGAAGAGGGAGGGGAAGGGAGGAGGGAAGCGAGCACGAGATTCAGCCCGAGGAAGGGGAAGAGGACGGATGGCAGAATCGACCAACGCTCATTCACCCAACGAATGCGTCCATAAGTCCTGGTCAAGACTCGCCCACCCTCCCGCGCACATGTGCATTGGGCACCCCCTCCTCAAGCCCTCTTCCCCTTTGTCGCCCTCCCAGGCGCCCAAGAACTCACCACCACCACCACCACCACCACCACCACCACCACCACCACCACCACAACCACCACCGCGAGGAGTCAGGCAGGGTCCTCCAGGTGGGCCCCCCTGTTTGGCGGCGTCCCGCTCGAGGGCATCTCCAATCTCCGGCTCGGGGAGGCATCCTGGACCTCCTCGCTGGACATGGCCCGCGGGAACGGTGGCGGTGTAGCTCCTCCCCCCCCGACCAGGAACCCCTGCGCGCGGGAGGAGGGCGGAAAAGGCAGCCGTTCCGGCGCGCCGAGCCCAGGGCGCGGTCGCCCACGAGGATCCGCTGCCGGAACCGTACGGCCATCGCCGTGACCAGCGCTGGAGGCTTGCCCTGCGAGCGGCATCGCTCTCTCGGCGAGTCGGGAAGAGAGGAGGGCGGTCGCCACAGAGGCTGCGACGCCTGGCGCGGGACGAGACGGGAGCCTGCTTGCCACGTCCTGAAGTGAGTGTCGTCAACACGGGATCGGCACAAGGGAGCAGTCCGAGGGGTGCAGAAATCCCCCGCCATGTGGAAACCAACTGCAAGAAACCGCGCCCTCCTCCTGAGGTGCAGGGATTCCACCATGGGATGGATGAGTCCCCCGGGCGGAAGACATTGTCATGAGAACCCACCCGGGTGGGAGTCAAGGCTTTTCATCCTGAAGCGTTTTCGACGGTCCTGGAGCCCGGCGAGGACAGAGGACGACACCAGCGAACAACCTCCCAGCGTGGTTTTTGTTCATGACTCGAGGGGGTCTGGCGACCTAGCAGCGCAGTGCCGCTGGACACATGAACGATAACTGCACGTCACATGCTCTGCAAAACCAAGCGGGATCCTTCGCGCTGGTTGTGAAGAAGATGGCCTTCGCGACGCCGCGCCGCTTCAAGAAGCCACCGTGGAAGGAGCGCAGAGAGCACGAGGGCCCCCAGAGAGGAGCGCTCGACAGTGGAGCTGGGACAGGGAGCAGGGGGAGGAGGTACAGTCAAAACGCATGATAAAGACGTGTTGTGAGGATGCAAGGGCATCGGACGGCCATGTTGACGTTTCTCGAACGGGACTTGCCAGTGCAAGTTGCCAAGGATGGGCCTAAAGGGCAAGGATGCAAAGGGCAACATTGGAAAGCTGCTCAACCTTACTATGCACTTTGACTATACAGGAGAGGGGCAGAAAAAGAAATGAGGAGGTCAGATAGGAAAGGGTACAAGGCCGTCTGGACAAGACAGAACGAGCAGAGGTGGATTTTGAGGAGCGGTGGATGAGGGCGGGGAACAGACATGACGGAGCAGGGCGGGAAGTAGCACGATGTAGGGCAGTCGGCTACAATTCTTGGAAAGATAACGAGGACGGAGGGACAACGATGGAGGGGCGATGGAGGATGGAGGGATGCGAAGGGAGGGAGGGAGGGACGATGGCAAAATGGAGGACAATAGAGCATGGAGGGATGATTGACCATGAGGGATGACGGTGGGTGGGAAAGGATATTTCACAGAGGGCACGCAATATCTGCCGCAAGCCTTCTCCATCTCGAGACAGCACTTACGAAATTGTTTTTCTTCATCGGAGGCGCGTTCGTGACATGCTACAGTGCACGTTATGCTGCCCTCGCACTGGACGCATGCAACGATACCAGTGCAACTACGAGCAAACACTGAAGGGCAAGTCGAGGCACACCACAGCACTGATCACACCCAGAGCTGACGCACGGCGGCACTGCAGGAACACCAATTACTAGGGCCATCACCGCGCCCTGCGCACTCATGGGGGGGGCGTCCCGAAGCTCGCATCGTCGTTATAAGCTTGCGAACAAAAAAAACAACAAACAAAACAAACAAAAAAAACGGCACGCACATACTCTCTTCGAGCTCCGCCCGGACTTCTTGGATCCGCGCCGGCCCCCCCCCCTCCCGGGCGCGCGAAGCGCGCCAGGGAGGGCGCCCGATCCAAGAGATCTGCGCGGCACCCCGAAAAGGTTGCGTCGGGCCCAGACCCCCGATACCATGGAGTGCCGGGGGCGCTCCGCGGGGTTGGCTATATATACGCCCACCACAGAAGGTCCTCAGAGTCTGCTGTGGTTCGAACGAACTGTTCTCACAACATGTCTGACCGACACTGTCTTGTTTTTGACGCATCTGCTTTTGTGTTCTCAGGAGTTCTAAGACAATCCGGTGGTAGACCTACAGGAATGCTGGGACGGTCGGTCCCTGCTCAATGCTCGGTCTCAGAGGGTGCGCTGGCCCGAATTTCCAATTTGTTCCCCATGATTCGCGATGACGCCCCTTAACCAGCCTTGACCCCACGCCCTCCCTGGTCACGTCCAGACTCGCGCTGGCGCCGTCTGAGAGAGAGAACCCCTCCTGTGCATTCCCAAACGGCGCCGGCGCGAAACGTGACGTGACGGGCCCCCTACCACCCCCCGGGGCACGCTCGGAATCGTGCATAACAGAGTGCCTTGAACTTCTCCCACCACACACGGGCTCCAGGAGCCTCCGGCTATACCCCCATGAGGCCACTCAGAGACCCTCCCGAGGCGCCCCCAAGAAGCTCCCCGAAGGCCGTCGAGGAACGGTGGCGGAAACTGTCGCAGGTCACTGGATGTAGTATATCTAATGGCCTGCCGTCACCTCCGCCTGGTCTATATTACAAACAAGGCAAGATGGAGGAGGTATTCGTCAGATTTGGAAACAACGGCGAATGAAGGGTTACCATGGATAATTACGACGCGCAGGGAAACTCGCAAATGCAAGAAATGAGAATGGGGGATATGTACCGAGAAGAACTTAGGATTAGGTCGGGCATGCCCTCCTACAGGCGGATTTTGGGAGATACGTAAAAGATATACAAAACATCTTCAACAACTGTCAAAAATACTAGAACAAACACATCCACAGACTATGTTTTGATTATTTTTGAACTTTCCGCCTGTAGAGGGACATGACCGACTTACACTTGGGAGGCCGGTGCATGTATGAAGCATAGACCAGAGGTGCCAGCAGAGATCGCTTGGCAGGGGGCGCCGACAGATCATCCAACATGCGTCGATCGTAGCCAGCTTCGGCGAATGAGGATGATTGGCAATCTTAGCTGCCCCGACACGCAACACGCGACACGTAGCAAACTGATATAGAGCTCAACACGTAGACCTGACGCGATACGTTCGCCAAGACGTGGGCCAACACGCTGAGACAATACGCAAACGTATAGACACGGACGTTGTCGGCACGGTGCGTGTTGCGTCTCAAAACGGGCGTATCGAGGCAGCTAGGTCGACAGACGAACAGCGCACCCCCATACCCGCAACGGGGGGCGGAGGGGGGCCACGGGAGGGTCCCGCACCCCGCACCCACACACACGGGCCAGCCCTCCTTCTCCCGACCCCCCTAGATGGGCATGGGTGTGTGCTGGCTGGGGAAAACGGAGGAAGTACCCACTGGCCGGAAGAAGTGCAGTCGGGGTGGATTGGAGAGGGCACGCGAGAGGACACAAGACTCTTCCGATGGCCACATTACCAGTGAAACGTAGACGGCATTGGTCGCGAAACACTGGACACTAGGGTATCCTTGTTTGGGCAGGGTCTACCTGCGAGTATAACTCGACTGTAGGTAGAAACATGAGGTAGGAAGGCGTTGGAAGTAGATCGGGTGTCCGCCCGCCCCCTGAAGATGATCGAAACGGTGAAGCCACTCGATCGTTGAAGTAGGAAGGCGCTCAAAGTAGATTGGATTCTGGGACTCCAGAAATGCCCACTTTCATCGACCGATGGGTACCCATAGCCAGTCCTCCTTCTTCCGACTCCCCTACACGGGTATTACGGGTGTGTGCTGGTGGGGGGAGACGGAGAAAATAATCCTGAAGATCCCCAAGAGTTGTTGCATGGGGTCTCGCGGCCCGGTCGCAGGACCCCTCCACGACACGGGGCACACGCTGGGCGCGAGCGGTGGCCAGGACGGTGGAGCTCCTCTCGGGGTCCTCTTCCGCCACCTCCTAACCTCCTAAGAGGGCCTCTCAGAGGGGCTCGAGTGGGGGAACTTGAAAGGGCGCCCTGGGGTCCATCCCCCCCAAGATGGCCCCCGATATCCCCAGCATGTCTCCAAGACTCCAGCAAGATCCGCCAGAGGCCTACGAGAGGCCGCCACGAGGCCCCCCAAAGCCTCCAAGAGGCTCCTCCTTCCCCACCCCACCTGCTGGTAAATGTTTCCCCTGCCGCACCAACAGACGTGTCCGTAGGGCTGTCCAGGCATTTCGCTTGACACCCCCTGGCAACTCGCATCCCACGATGGAGGGCCGGTCATCGTCAGAATGGGGCTCTCGCCTGAGCGCCTCGCACACTCGTCCTCAAAACTTGCAGCAGCTACACGGAGTGAGGGCTGGCTGTTTCCAAACTGGTGCTCTCGCATATGCGCCGCGCACCTTCGCCTGAAAGTCTTTCGACAATTACGAGAACGGATGGCCGGCCATTCCGAACCTTTACGGGCTGAAGGGCTTTCGCCGGAGCGCCGCACGCATTCCTGCTTGCAATTTCAAGCGTTGCGAGGATGGAGGCTGGGTTGCTTGAAAAATGCTGCTCTCGCCGCAGCGCCGCGCACATTGGTCCAAAAAGCTTGCCACTTCGTTTTCACAATGCGACTCTCGATTGAGCCATCGTCATATTCTAGAACCCTAAATTCCGAAGTGTGCAATCGATGAGGCCTCCCTGGAGTTCTACCATGCTATCTCTTCGCGCTTCCTCTGGCTAGAGGGATGGACGGCGGATCCCCGTGGTAGGCCAAGCAGGCGTTCGTCGTTCCAGGGGGGCGCTTCCCACAGTGGGCCATGGGACGGGAGGGTGTGTTTCGAGGGGGTTCAAGAGGGGGGCGTCCAAGAGGGCGGAGCACGCATCATGAAATCCGGGGAGATCTCGGGGCCCCTGCCATGACATCCAACCCCTCCCTAGCCACCAACCTCTGGACGCCGCCGAATCTTGCAGCAACGTTTGTCCATGCATCGGGGGCTCACTCTGGCCATCCCCCTCATCCTCCTCCTCCTCCTCCTCCTCCTCCTCCTCCTCCTCCTCCTCCTCCTCCTCCTCCTCCTCCCCCTCCTCTGGCAGCCCCGTGGCGAGACACCCACGAAAAATGAGCGGCTGGGCCGCCTAGCTCCTCCTTGTGGAGGACGTTCACGCCGGCGTGGGCGGTAAGCTGCACCGCCAGCTTCGGTGCCAACTCCAATGCCTTATGAAGGGGCTCAGACTGAAGTCGGGCTTGTCCCTCTACAGGAGGAATATCCGAAAATAGAAAAAAAGTCTGGGGACGATTTGTATTCGTTTGGAAGATTTGTTTTGCACATGT